GTCTGCCAACAAAACACCCAGGTGACGATAGGCTTCTTCACGCCGTAGAATCAAGACATTCGTTTTTGGTTTGGCAAATTGCATTATTCGTTCTGCTCCGTCCGATCCAATGAAACCTTGAAGATTACGCGAAAGTTGGTTGGCTTCTTCAGAATTCATGTTCTCCACGGAGATCTGGGCGATGCCGATCAACCGGTAGCCTCTTCGAGTAAATGCAGTGTTTGCCACCCAGCCAACACTTCCGACGGTGGAAGCAGTGAAAAGCACAATGTCGCTTGATCTGGTTACCGAAAGCCATGAATGTGGGTTCATTGCAACTGATTTCCAGCCGCGTTCGAGTTTTGTCAGGAGTATCCTCGGTCCGAACCAATTTGTCTGGCATAGGAGGAGGAGAAAGTGATTTTTACAATTCCGAAGGCAAGCATTTAGTAAACGCGGGCACGATAGCCCATTATTTATCACACGCAAACGCTTTCCAGTGGAGTCTCAAATTAACCCATCTGACTAAGTTTTTTAGAAATGCATCTTCGTCAACTTCCTGCATAAATCTCCTTGAATTTGTAATTGAAACTGAGAAGTCACTTCAGGAATGAACCCAATGTTATTTTTATATTTTGCGCATAGGAAAACGCGTATTGCCCTACTCTCAGCAGCCGGCTAAAAGCTTCAACCTAGTACTTAGGTCAGGAATCTGATTTCACTTTTTTTCTGCGCAGCCTATTATTACTTGAGTTTCAGATATGATCTTTACACGGCTTTCCACTTAAAGCGACATTACCAAAGTCAACTGTTTATAGGATAAAAAGGAAGCAATTCAAAGTTTGCTAATGAAAACTAACGAATATGATATTTGTACTTTCAGGGCGAGATAAATACTTCTGTAGCCGTTTTTGGAATACAGACTGTTAAAGAACAAAACAAACACTACTACATTGGCCGTTATATTTATGCAGCGGTTAAGACTTCAAAAGGCGAGTCCCGTTATGGTTTTCGCCAGACTATTTAAGGAAGCAGGGTCACAAAACTGGCATTAATATTTATTAGGAATAGCACAAATGGAACTCCGTGTCAAATAAGATTCAGTTAGATCATCTGCGTGGTGGTTGTGGCGGTGGTGGTGGTCGATAGAGATGATAATGTTGAGAAGAAGAAGAAGAAGAAGAAGAAGAAGAAGAAGAAGAAGGTGGAGGAAGAGAAGGAGTAGGAGGAGGTAGAATTTCATGATGATGACAAGGTGTTAGTTTTCGTTTCAATAATGTTGGCGAGTAGGATTAGCACGCAGAGAGAACAATTCTGCCTTAAAGATAATCGTAAACACAGCCACTCCAAGGTTTTACTGTCTTTGTCATTTTTATTTACTCTCATTTATTCACTTAAGGCCCTCGATTTAATCAGTCATTGTCCGACGATTATTTCATTAGAAGAGTTTGCGCCTTAGTTGAAATTTTGTGATTTCCGGGTCTTGCTGCAATCATACTTAAACACTAACTCTGTTTTCGCGAAGGAGCTTAGAACGATAAACTTGAAATCAGTACTCTGGTTAAATCTAGATCCTTGGAATCCATAAATATGCGTAAGCTCAAACAGACCTTGACACTCGTACAGCACTTCACATCTCAACTGTAAATTTTGATATTTTGCTGGGATAGGTTATCGAAGTAGTGACATCGCTCCGTCTGTTGGTTCTTCTATTTTAGCTCGGCTTTTATTCCTGATGCGCTAACGTGTTCTTCTTACTGTTTTCCTCTACGGTCCCCGCTTCCCCTTTTTTCGTGGTCTAGTGTGGCTTGAATCGACATAAATGGCTTAGACTCTTTCCTAAGTCAAAGACAGCTCAAAGCAATCCAATGAATCATAAAAACTGAATGGCGAAGAAGAAAATCCGAAGCTAATCAGTTGCCCCAATCGTAAAAAAACTCAGCGACCTCATTGTGATTCGAGCGCCCGTCAGAAAACGTTCTAATCACCCTAGCTGAGTGGCCTCAAAATGGAGTAAACTCACGGCTCCTGGTGGTGCCTCATAGCTCAAATGGTTAGAGCGTTGACTGTACTCAAGCCTTGCCTTTGTTGTTGCGGGTTCAAATCCCACCGAGACCTTCGACTTTTTCATCATCGGATTGGGAGAATTATTCCAGTCTGCTAAAACACCAGTTAAATAAAAGAAGATTTGCTATCCGCCGTTTTCCCGCCTGTTAGAGCATGGTTGACAGTTACTAATTTTCTCCTTCTCTGTGCTCTAATAGAACTTTAAACCAACATGAATTCCAATAAAACTAATTTATAGTTTTTTCTTAACTGCAACACTTACCAAATCGACAATATCAATGTCCTTAAAGCCACTTGTTAGAAGGTGCATTCTGCCGGGCTGCACTACCGGATTTTGCATCTTGGCAGGGCTGGGGAAGAAGCCCGGATGACTGAGACGCAGGTAGACGTCTCGAGCCAACTGGCGACCCCTTGGACCGTGGACTATCAGGGCGAGTTTCGGTTCGGTGCCACTCTCCGTCCAGCCGGTCCGCAGTCCCGCCAGACTGAGTCCTTGAAGTTGGAGGCCGGCAAGCAGACTGAAGACCTGCGTGGATAAACTGAAGTCTTCTGGCTTGGTCGTTTCTGCCGGTTTCTTGTTCTCCAGGTCAAAGGTGAGTAGGATATTTTCGGGTTGCCCTAAGAAGAAGTCATCCGTGATGCTGAAAGACGCATCTTCCAGAGCATCAACATTGAATTCCTCTTCTTGTTCGATTGTATTCAGGACGGCGGTTTTAACAAAGTCCGCGGGCCTTGTCCAAGTCTCTACACCGACAGAAACGTTGGCGGTGGGATCGCTGAACTGTTTCCAAAAGAAACTTGGCGCACGAACGCATTTTCCAAAGTCTTCTTCCAAATCCCTGACTTGTTTGTCATGTTCGAATGAGGTGAGTTCCATGAATGCGGAAAGTGGCTGTTCACTTATCTCATACTTTAGTTTGTCTGGATTCCAAAATGACTCACATCTTCCCGCAGCCGCCATTATCTGTAGAAGATGGGGAATAAAGAGTTTATGGAAGTGAGTCTCTGTCTCTGATCGAGTCTTGGAAATAGAAACTCGTAAATTGTTTTTTTCCCTTACGATGTAGTAATCAGTCCGCTTTTTTACAAAAGGCATTATCTTTCTATATTTCAGTATAGTACA